TTTCTACAAAGCTTGTTCCTAGTTTGTTAACTTCTGTTATACCTTATTTGCATATGATGTTGCAAAGTGTAAACTGGCAGCCGATAAAAGCCTGTGTAAACCTACAGACGGGGGCCAGTGCTGGGAGTGTTAACGTGTCTGGGCCCGCTGGTGTACTAAACCTGAGCTCTCCAACTCTCCGCATGCTGCTTGGTCTCCCGCCTGGATCCAGGTTGCTGTCACAACTGAGCTGTAACACATTTTTTCTACAATTTAAAGAGATTTACAAAAGTGTACAACCATGTCATTCTTCTCATTAATTTTTTTTGAAAATATAATTTTTTTCATAAAAACGTTTTTTTGGGAGGACATGAAATGGATTTACTATTAAGTGAGTTAACAAGTACATATTTTTTAAGTTCTTTCATTTCTGTTTTGAATATGCTAAATGTTAATAGATAAAGCCATCTAAGCAAAAGCTCTTTGGGGTCCTCAGTAATGTTTACGAGTGTAAAGTGATTCTGAGGCTGAACATTTGAGAACAATTACTCGACATCACCTTTGGTGATTCCACAGCACTCCTCCGGGTGGATGGCCCCGAATTTGTCCACCCACTTTCTTACCGATGGACCTGCAGGTTGCTTTCAGTTTTTACTGCTGCAAAAGTGCTGTGCAAATCATCGCCCACTATGTAAAGTGCAAACTTCTCGAAATGAGAAAAAAACAACAGAAACCCACTGGAAGAATGAGCCGTCACCGTCAGGCCATTATTAAGAAATTAAACAAAATGTATCACAGAATGTGAGTAAAGTTGAAAAACTAGGTGTCCATTTAATATATACGTGTGTGTACAGATACATAAGATCCCATATAGAGAGAGACTCATGCTCTGTAGAGAGTCCTCCTGCTGTCCCTGAAGGGCTTACAAAATCGAATCCTATTCTAGAGACGTGCTACGGGTGGTATAAAATTCTCTGATACCATTTCAGAAATGAATTTCATTTCAGAAATTGAGAGGAGTTTGGAAACTTCTAAGCAATTTGAGAGAAATTTTATTTCTGTTGGAAATAATAAAAATTGACGTTTGTAAAAAAATTGGGTACAAAAATTGCTGCAAACTTTAAAAAAATGTACTTGAGAATATTTCTGTAGAATGAGTTCCAGGAAGCGGACTTGCTGGGCCAGTGGATACACACCTTTAAATGTTTCTGGATGCTGCCAAGTTCTTCCATTTACATCTCACCAAGATGTAAATACGTCAAGTACACTGAGAGTGTATTCGGTTGCCTGCTCTCTCACACTTTTGGCAACACCAAAGACTGTGACTCTGAATTTTTCCTGCTCAGTAGGCTAAAAGGTCTATGTTGTCTTCTGTGAATTGCTTCATCTCCTTTGCCCATTTTCTAGTGGGTCCTTTTTCTTATTGATTTTTCTTAACTCTTTATACATTCTGGATACACATCTTTTGTCTGTTATGTGTTATATTGTACTCAATTATGTGGCTTGCCTTTTAATTTGCTTGCATGTCTCACTGTAGTAAAAAACCACCTTTAAAAATTGTTCTCATCTATTAATCATTTCCTTTGTGGTTTTAAGGATTCTTGTCTGGCTCAGGAAGACTTTCCTTGTTGTATGATTTTAAAAGTACTCTCCACTTTCCTCTAAAACACTTGCAGCCTTTCTTTTTCTTTTTTAATGTGTTGATCTTAATCCATCTGGAATTAATTTTTGTTATGGTGTGAGGCACTGACTGTTGACCTTTGCAAGCCATGTAGAAGAGTATGGCAGGCCGCCAGCAATGGGCGTGAGCCAGTAAGAACCAGCTCACACATTGTTGGGTATCTGCAGGCCGCTACGGGTGGAGCTGAGCTGTTCCCTGAGTGGACAGACACCTGAGCCCCTCTGGTTCAGGAGGGGAGGCAAGCCACACACCGGAATCCTCTGAATGCAGCAGAGCAGCTGTGAGTGTCTGCAAAGTCAACAAGCAGAGCTCCAAGAAAGCACCTGCACAACTTAACACGCTGTGTGGTTCTCAGCAAGCTTTCTGTCCATCATCTCCCTCGATGCCAACATCGCAGTGTAAGATGCCCATTTTACCATCACAGGAAAATAAGGTGCAGAGAGATTAAGAGACATGCCCGAGGCCACACTCTCGACGAGTGGCAGAGCCCAACTAGCACCTGGACCTCCTGCCGCCGGGTCCTTGGACCTCTCTGTGCATCAGGCTGAGTCGCTGTCACTGCACCTGCCCCCTTTCGTGGAAGGCAGGATCTGGCCAAAGGCTTTCCCAAATCCGTGCTCCCCCACTGCGGGTATCTGAGACTGGAAAAATCCACCCTCCACCACCAGCTGACAGAGGGTTTTGAGCACTGAGGCCTCCTCCAGCATGTACCTCCTCCTCCCCGAGTGTTTGGCGGCGGGTGGGCGTGGAGATGAGTCAGGCCGGGAGGGAGAGCTCAGCCATAAACAAGCGGGACTGACAGCGAGCACTTTCCCTGAGGCGCGTGACCTCCCATGGGCCTCCGGGGACGCCTGAATGGCAGGGCTTCAAAATTTCATGATCTAGGCTTTGCAGATTTAATTTGCTACGTTCACGGAGGCAGCCACAGGAGTGGGGGAAGCTTTCTGATTGGAGGTGGGGGATGAGGCAGAAGGTAAATTATTTCTAGTCCCTCAGTGGAGAGCTTGAACTGTTTTCAATGAGTGAGCCGTTGCTGCAGATGCCTGGCATGACTACGCTGGGTCTCTATCCCTCCAGCTCCAAACCGAAAGGACGTCCAGGACGCAGAGTTTGAGAGCTAGACCTGGCCTCGGAGACCAGGTGATCCGGTCCCTCGGGGTTAATGGGAACTCGGTGTACCCCAAAGCAAGGGACCTGTCCAAGTTAGGGAGCTCTGGGAACAGATCTCAGGTCTCCTGGATCCCCTGCCTACACTTGTGACTCCCAGGAAAGCCTTGGGGACGGCACAGCCACTGGGCACACCATGAGGAAGTAAAAGGTGAGGGCAGAGACACAGGGGCACCAGGCCAAAGAGTGACCCAGCAGGGCTTCTCTCTGCCCTGGGGCTGCGGCCGGGGCTGGGGAGATGCTGGGGCCTACCTGCTCCAGCGGGATGACCAAGAAGGAGCCACCACCGGCGCTCTCGGTGACGATGGCCAGGAAGCGGGCGTTGACGGCGCAGAAATGGTTATCATGCACATTCTTGGTGATGGGGATCCCGTCGAAGCAGTGCTCCCGGTTGGCCACCTTCCCGTAGACGTTCCGGAACTTGGAGCTGCGGTACTGTGGGCGCCAGGACATCTGTGGGGGCCGGGAGGGACAAGGGTCAGGTCAGTCACTGCTTCCTGAAGGGCTGAGCTGGGCACGTGTGGGAGGGCAGCTGCTCTTCAGGGATGTGGAAGCAACACCTGGGGCCCGTCCTCAGGATGCAGGGAGACGGGGAGGAGCCTCCAAGAACTGGGTGCCTGGCCCTGAGATGGACAATTTCCTTTTTCAGTAAAGTTACATGAGAGCAAAGACTTGCATGAGGGCATTCACACATTTCCTGCTTTCAGAATACACCCCCACACCACCTTCCAGAAAGGATGGAGGGTCCCTTCATTCTTAAGGGACATGCCACGTGGCAGAGTAGACCATCCACCCAAAGACATGTGTCGGCTGCCCCTGCATGTCAGGAACTGGGCTTAAGCCAGTATGGGAGGTGCAGACAGAGACAGCTGGCTGTTCCTGGAGAGAGAGCACTGCTGGTGACACAGGTGGGGAGGTGGGTGCCCCATCTGTGCGCAACAAGGCAAACGACCACCCTCCTCTGATTCTCTCTAGGGCTTCCGACCCACAGGGCACCCTCAGAAATCTCCTAGTCCTGCAGCCATCACCATCACCAGGCCCAGAGAGGTTAAATGACTTGTCCAAGGCCACACAGCTAATGCAGAGCACCATGAACACAAGTCCCCTGACTGGACATCTGAGGCTCTTTCCTGAGCCGACTACCCTTCGGAGCAAGGTCCCTCAGTGTGTGGCCCACAGTCACCTGGGTCAAAGTCTTCTGGGGAGGGGCAGCTTCTGAGTCTTAGAAAATGTTCTAGCGATCTGCCTTGTGTTGCTTCGGTCAAAGCCATTCCTGGATTCCCTATAAACTATAGGAGCCAGACGTAATGGCTTGATTCAGCTGACAATAGAGATGCTCCTGTGATTTATCACTGGCCTGGGCGGGGGTGAGGATGAGGAGGACAGGGCAGAGGGAATGTGTGAGCATGCGCCTGGCCCGGCTGGTGGCAGTGAGAGGGCTGGCTGACCAGGGGAGGGTGGTGGTGGAGACCCGGGAGACCAGACTGGGCACAGCACACACGTGGACAAGGCAGGGCGTCCACAGGCCCCAGAGGTCTGACCTTTTCACCCGTGGTTGCCAAGGGGCTGACTTCATTCTGAGGTCAGAGGCATGAGTGTGAAAACACTGCTCCCTGTTCTGCAGCGGGAGGAGCCACAGTGAGGCTGGAGGACCTGCCCAGACCTCAGAGGGAAGTTGGTGGGGGGACCAAGAGGTCACCTGAAAATCTGGCCCTTGCCCCCAGCCCAGTCCAGATCCTGGTGGATCCCCCCAGCTAGTTCCAGCGAGGGCAGGACACACATCCACTCTCTGAACCTTCCAGGAACGATCAGCACAAGACTGAGACCCAGCTGAGCTCCCTGAAAAGGAGGACTTTCTTAATGGTTGGAGCTGCCTGAGATGGACAAGGAAGGTGCCCGGACAGGCAGTGAGCTTCCCGTCCCTGGAAGGGTTCACGTTCAGGTGGACGACCTCTGGTCACGGGCAGTGTGGGGCAACAGCTGGGACCAGGTGGCCTTCCGGCCCCGAGACAGCAGAGTTCCTCTGCTTTACTAAAGACACTGTGTTGCAACAGAGAGGAGCCCTGGGTCAGAGAGCACTGAACGGGACACCCTGGCCAGCGACACGCCTTCTCTGGAAAACGGGTCACAGCATCCCCCCAGCTGGGTTGCTGTGACACGTAATGACAACTGCCACCTCCCCCAAGGGCGTCCACATAGCTGACGGACGCTGGTCACACAAGGCATGTGTACGCAGACGCTATTTAACACGTGCATGATCCTGCTCCTGGTTACAGGTTACCCGAGCACCCCGCCCCTTCCAGCCCCTGCTCGGCCGCACCCCGCCGGGGCCTGGCCCTGCTCTGCTGTCCAGCAGAAGCCTCCCAGGGGCTCCAGCTGAACAACCTCTCAGTGTGGGAGGAGGGCGAGGGCCAGGTCAGGCACAGTTGCCTGGTTCTCTGGATGTGATGAGTGGGGTCTCCTTCAGGCGTCTCACCCCAGGGCTGTGACTTCAGTGTTCTGAGGGCTTGAGTTTTAAGCTGGTACCTACTCCTGTCCACAGGAAGCAGGGCTGGTCCCTGCCCTCACCCCACTAGGGCCTCTGGGTCCAAGCCCTTCCTTGTATGTCTCTCCTTCCGGTCACGCAGCCCCTCTCCTCTGGGCTCCATGCCACAGGGACGCCAAGGCCTCTGGCCTCGGGACAGCTCTCCCTGACAGCACGGTGACAGCAATTCCATCAGAACCGCCTCCCGGCCCCCACCCCCAGCCTCGGCCCTCCCCTGACACCCCCCCAGCATCGCCTCATTCACGCCCATCCCCAGCTGTCCAGTGGGCAGAGCTGGGCGGACACTTTAGCCCCATCAAACATGGACGGCATACATGTGACTCATCTGGGGCTCAGAGAGGCCGAGACCAGCTCCAAGTCACAACCAGGAAAGTGGCAAAGCTAAGACCTCAGCCAGGAACTTCCTATTCTTCGTACATGTTCCTCCCAACGTAGCACACAGCCCCCCTCCTCCAGCCTCTCCTCCGCAGCTCCTGCCCCCAAACCTGCTCCATACAACACAGGCGCGGCCCAAAGCGTGAGGAAGCTGTACTGTGGCTACGGCCGGCAGAAAGGGTCCAAAGGTTTCTATCCTGGCTGTTGTCTGCTAGCTGTGTGACTCCAGACTACTCACTCAGCCTCCCTGAACATTAGTTTCTTTATCTGTAAAGTGCAAATAACATCACCCAGTTCACTGGAGGCAATGAAGTGACCAAATGCACAGTGCCCGGCAAGGTGTCTGGCACGGGGGGGGGTGTCACATGCCAGTTCTGCCCTCTCCCCTTCCGTGTGCGGAAGAGGCTCTGACCTCGATTGTTTACTTGGGAGACCAGGCTCTGGCAGAAGGAGGAGGGGCTGGGCCGGTCCGAGGGTCAGGAGGCATGGAGGGAAAGGCTCTGGCCTCCAGATGTGCGTGGCTGCCGGCCTGCTCCGTGGCGGCCTCTCCCGTGGGCCCAGGGCCCATCCTGTCCTCCCTCGTAGGGAGGGGGGGGTGGGGGGGAACGGGCGGAAGGAAGGAAGCATT